ATCTCTAGTAATTCAATTAACCCAAAATGAACAAATGTCTCCTATTTGGGGACCACACCATTTCTTCGCACACATGAAAGATTCACAAGTAAGATTCACATTGTCAAATGAACACCCACAAGGAATAAACCTTAAGGACTGTGACAATAAAACACAAATACTCCAAGTTTGGACAATTCTAATAGATTTTCACTTGAATCTCAGCAATTTCAGAACAATCAGATCTCAAGTGCTTTACTTTTTAAAAAAGAATATTTACATACAGAAAGGAAAGTGTTAAAAACTGGCACCAACCATCCCTCCTGCAGCACTCTATATTTAACCCGGGTCAGTAGTTCACTGCAAGGACCACACAGAACTTAGACCCCATCCTCACCGTCACAGGGTTTATTAGGGAAGTTGGAACGTTACAATGCTCTTCCTGTTTCTGTTAGGTGCCATGGCATCAGTTCCTACTCATAGTGCCTCTATGTACAACAGGATGAAGCATTGCCCAGTCAGTGCCGTCCTCACAATTGTTGTTATATTTGAGCCCATTGTTGCTGCCATGGTTTCAATCCATTTCGATGGGGGTCTTCCTCTTTTTCACTAACCCTCAACTTTACCAAGCATGATGCCCTTCTCCAGGGACTGGTCCCTCCAGATAATATATCCAAAGTGTAAGAGACCAAATCTTGCCATCTTCACTTCTAAGGAGCAGTTTGGCTGTATTTCTTCAAAGACAGATTTATTTATTTTGGCATGCCACGGTACTTCCAATATTAATTGCCAACACCACAATCCAAATGCCCAAATTCTTCCATAATTTTCCTTATTCATTTTCCAATTTTTATATTTATTTGAGGCAACTGAAAATACAGTGTGGCTTGGGTCAGGCACACCTTAGTCATCAAACTGACATCTTTGCTCTTCATCACCTAAAAGAGGTCTTTGGCAGCAGATTTGCCTAATGAAATCCATCATTTCATTTCAGGACTGCTCCTTCCATTAGTGCTTATTGTGAATCCAAGCAAACTATATAGAGTTTTTGGCAACTTCAGTCTTTTCTCTGTTTATAATATTATTTATTGGTTCAGTTTCTCGGATTAGTTGTTCAGCATACAAATTAAGTAACTATGGTGAAATGATACAACCTTGGTGCACACCTTTCCTGATTTTAAACCCTTCTATAGTTCATTGTTCTGTTCAAACAACTGCCTCTTTGTAGGTAGACTCCTCATGAGCACAATGAAGTGTTCTGTAATGCCCATTCTTTCCAATGTCATTCATGGTTTGTTATGATCCAAACAGTCAAATACCCTTGCATAGTCAGTAAGGCTCATGATTCTGTAAGAAAACATAGTAAGTAAACATCTCTCTGGCACTCTCTGCTTTTAGCCAAAATTCTTTTGATAAAAGCAATAACTTCCTAGAAGAGTTCCACAACCTCTTCTGAATCTGGTCTTAATTTCTGGTAAGTCCCTGCTGACGTACTGCTACAACCATTTTTTAAATTATCTTCATCAGAAATATACTTGCATGTGAATTTAATGCTATTGTTCCATGATTCCCACTTTCCGTTGGGTCATTTTTCTTTGGAATGGGTCCAAATATGGATCTCATCCAGTCAGTTGGGCAGGTAGCTGTCTTCCAAATTTCTCTTCTGTCGGTTTGTCATGCTGTGGTGGCTTGTGTGTTGCCATGTTGCTGGAAGTATGCCATTGGTATTTTAAGTAACAGCAGGGTCACCCATGGTAGATAGATCTCAGTGCAGCTCCCAGTCTAAGACAGACTAAAAAGAATGAGAGTCAAGCTGCTTCTGAGTAGTTGTTGTGGTTAAGTGCTGTCCAGTCAGTTCCAAATCATAGTGACCATATATAGGGTTTCTGAGGTTTGAACCTTGACCTTGTGGTTTTCAGTCTAGTGCTCATCCTACAGTGCCAGCCACATTGTCAAGTATAGTACTAGAAAATGAGCCCCTCAAGTTGAAAGGCCCTCAGAATACAACTGGGGAAGAGCTGCCTCATCAATGTAAAGTTAAACTGAGTGACATTAATGAAGCAAATTTTAAGAACCTTAATTTATTAATGAGGCACAACTAAAGATGAGAAGAAAACTGCAAACTTCCATTAGTAATTAGAACATGGAATGTATGAAGCACAAATCTAGGAAAACTGGAAGGTGTCAAAAATGAAGTTGAACACATAAAGATCGATGTCCTAGTCATTATTAAGCTGAACTGGACTAATATTGGCTATTTTAAATAAGATAATCATATGGTTTACTATGACATCACATGCATTATCAAAAAGAACATTTCAAGATCGATCTTCAAGTACAATATTGTCTGTCATAGGAAAATATCGATGAACCTACAAGGAAGATGAGCAAATACTTCTATTTTTCAAATTTATGCACCAGTCACTAAAGCTAGAGATGATAATCACTGGACCACAAGGTCAGTTTGAACCACAAGGTTAGCAGTTCAAATCCACTAGCTGCTCCTTGGAAACGCTATAAAGAATCACTAGGAGTCACAATAATAACGGCAATGCAGCACTGGAGATGCTCACTCATCTATGCCAAGAAATCTGTATGACAGCTACTTAGTTACAATGCAGGATCAGAAAATGCTCAGGAATCAGGTCATCTTTGGTAAGTATAGCTTCTTCTGTGCTGTGCCCAGAGGCAGGCCTCTCTCTAGCCCTTGGCAATTCATATGGCCCCTGCTCTACTTGGCAATGTTACAAAGCTTTTTTAGGGCTGCTGATAAATGCCCAAAGGGAACTCCACTCTGCTTTAAACCACTGTCAGAACTTGCTCAGCTCTAGCTCCATGGATCAGGAAACTTAGCTTCCCAATGAAGTACCTGAAGGTACTCCACTCCAAGGCACTCAGTTGTACTTGTTCTGTGGACCACGATTTTCACCAGTCTTTCCCATGCTGTGGCTCTTGGTTCTACTGCCACTCCTCTGCTACTCCTCCAATGTCAACCTTCTGTCCTTGGGTCAAATTTCAATGCACAGGGTTCTCTGGGTCCAAAGGATGCACTTCATTTCTAGCCTTTCTTCCTTAATGATAATGAGATCCTCCTTTTGCTTAAAATGACACCGATCATCCTTACTGCGGCAATGGCCACACAGAACTCAGACGCAATACTCACAATTAGATGGTTTATTAGGGAAGTTAATAAATTGTGATTTGGGGTCAGAAATATTCAGGGCATAGTTTTCCAGTCAGGGCAGGCTCTCTTCTGCCACACCCACCAGAAGACCTCTTTGTGCTTGGGCAATGTTACAAGACTCTTTGGGAGCTGCTGGTAAAAGTTCCCAAGGCACACTACTCACTCTAAGCCTCATCCTGAAGTTACTTAGGCTCTGGCTCCATGAATTAAGTTCCTGGAGTCACCCTGCTCTGCAAGTAAGCCTCCTGCACAAAGTCACTACTCTGTCTCATGCTCTGGCACTTGGTTCTGCTATTGCTGTTCCACTACTATACTCTGGTGGCACAATTTTCTGTCCTTGGTTCAAGAAGCTTCAATGTGCAGAGATCTCGGGGTCCAAAGGATGAGCTCCACTCCTGGCTGTTCTTTGATGGTAGTGAGGTCCCCACTTCCGCTGCTGAAATGGTTCATTTTATACCTATGTTAGAATTCCAAGTTTACACATCACAACTAACTGCTAACAGTAATTTATAATTATATCATATCATCCTATAAGTATCTTCTCCCACCTTTTCTTACCCACATCCATCAGGAAAAGAATTGTTTGGTGGGTGTTAAAAAGACTAAGACTAGAAGAGACATATTAAATAATTCACTACACCACAGCATCCTACCCCACCATCTTTTACCCAGACCCATCAGGAAAAGTCTCTTGGTGGAGTTAACATAGACTATGGAATACCAATATAGTTTTGTAGGATAAGCACTGGACTACTAACCATAAGGTTGATGGTTTAAACCCATCTGCTGCTCCTCAAGTTGGAACTGACTTAATGGCACTTAACAGCAACAACATGGCTGAAAGAGACATTAAATAATTTACTACACTGATAAAAGCATTTTTACAGACTTCCTTGAACTACTAAGTTTTTTTTCAAGAAACTGCTTTTATGAGTAATTATTATTGAGCATTCAAATGTTCAAATTTAAAAGAAAGATTGAGAAAAAATGTAATTACTGTGTGCTGAAAAAGCATTGCCCAGATTTTAAATACATATTCAAAAGCTAGTTTTGAATCCTATTTTATAGCATGTACTATTAACTTGATAGGAAATGCAGCCAAGTCCTTAGTAATTTGCACCCTGTTATTTCTGATAAATAAGCAAGTGCACATACACTTTCACACCCATTAGCAAGCATGTCCTACTAAGACAATTCTGATATGTTTACTGCTTAGTGGTACAACTCTCTTGAGACACAAATTTGTCTCCATTGCTGAATCTTCTGAAGGCTGTCCATATCAAAGAAGATGCTCCCAGCATTCTAAGTTCCGTCACGTGTGACCCTCAATAAAGTGAAAATAATGAAATACTAGTAGGAGTGGCCCAATTAGATTATTAACCTAAATCTTAAATCTGTGGTCTTTAGTTATCACCCCTGTGTAATGAAAAATAAATATGCTCTTTGATTTACTGAAATTGTTCACTGCTTAAAAATGTGATACCATTTCAACCTGAGAAAAATGATAACTAAAGTCAAGTTAAATATTGAACACTGGTGAAAAATGAGTCGATTTCTGAAAACAAGAAAGAAGCATGAAGAAATCAAGTCGTACATTGTTCATAAAGTCAATAAGGTGATAAATACTGAGAACAAAGTCATCTTGCAAAACACTATTAAAATAATAAACTTTCATTATGATTTGGTATATCATTTTTGGTTTCTTATCTAAGTTACCACATTCCTGGTGACTCATTATTGACTGATGTGCATCGTTTTATTCCATGACAGATCTTCTCAAAGACCTTTACAGTTGTTCTGTTTTGTCCTTACCTATCACATTTTGCCTCATTTTCAGTTGTGGACAAGAATGGAAAGGAAATCGTTGCCACATCAAGGTTGACTCTCCTCCTCCTGCAAACTTCACATACATGCAAAATAGTAAGTGACATTATCACTGAACCAAGTGTTTGATTGGGGTTTCTCTAATTTTAGGTTTTCACTGCAAATTTATTGTTTTCTTTGGTTTGACATTTCAGATATATGGAGTTTCCTGGGTATCGGACTGGCTTTCCTGATGACTCATATTATAGTTGCTGTCTTGTGTTTCCTTGGGAATAGAAAACTACCCAGAAGGTAAATTGTGCTTTTAATTGCAGGACAAAACAAGATACTGCAGAAAAAGTTTTGAGACATTTGATTTGCCATGTTTCCTTTCACACCATATTACATTCGGGAAGCTTTAATGTTTCCATACTTTGTGTATTTATCTTTTTGAGCAAAAAGAGGGGCCACCTAAGGATAAGTAAACTTCTGATTTTTAAGAAAAAGTCTCAAGTTTACCTTTAAGATTATGTTAGGAGCAATTTTGATGACACCAAAAAACAAAGCCAACGTGGCATTATCACAGACTGAGAAGAGATGAGGGGATGGATGCACCCCTTTCTTGTAACATCTTGGAAAGACAGGGGAACATCAAAAGAGAATCATTCTTAGCTTGACAAAGGAAGCCAGACTCTAGTCACCAATATCCAAAGTAAAATCCTCCCATGTCCTATAAAAGGTATAGAATAGAAGTCAAGAGCTGCTATGCCAGAAGGAACACTGTAGGCGAGGCCTATGGGTCATTCCAGGGAACTCGCAATCTGAAACGCTCCATAAGACCCTAAAAGCTTCCTGTAGTCTCATGTGGGACATGGGTCACTCCAATAATAAGGTATAATCAGGATTTTTTTAATTAAAGAAATATATTATCTGCATTTAAACAAAAATAGGTGGCATTCACATAACTTTAAATTGTACATTTAAAAGTGAAGGATTCAGTGGCATTAAATTCATTTACAATATTGGACAACACAACTTCTATTGAGTTCCAAAATGTTTTCATCACCCCATTTCCATACCCATTAACCAATCACTCCCCATCCCTCCTTCCTCCAGTCCTTAGAAACCACCAATATCATTTTTGTCTTGATTTTTCATATAAATGGTGGCATACAATATGTGACACTTTGTGTGTCTGCCTTCTTGTTTCCTCTTGCATACCTGAGTTTGTGGTCAGTGATTTATATTTTCTGTAATACTGCTGTATCACAGAGCAATGGATAACTCCATTTTCATTTGTGTCAACTTGTATGTCCCATTTGATAAATTCTCAAATCCTCAGTCTTAAATTATGTTAACTAGTAGCCGCCAAACCTGATATCATTAATAAAGGCCAAGTTATTATGATGTTCATTAGAAAAAGATATGACATTTTCTATCTATTTCAATTAAGATCTTACCTATTTCCTCAAGTCCTCAATATTTTTACATGCTACAATAAGCCAAACAATGTGGATACAAATGTGAATCAGAAGCAGTCTGTACTTAAAGAAGTGTGTAATGTAATGGGACAAACACATGAGCCACTAACTGGTATAATGTTTGTATGCTAGATACATATAAACATGATACTATATTAACAAAACAAGCAAAACATACAGAAAAAATCCTGAATTTCATACATTTAGAAGATTCATGATGTATAACATTTAGGTCTACTAAGATCTCTTTGTTGTTGTTGTTAATGGCATCAGGTCGTAGCCTGACAGAAGCGTATCTGCTTTCTTCTAGATCTTTCATTCTTCTTCACTTTCATACTTTCCCTACTTTTGGCCCTCGCTTTCTTTTTTTGCTCAACTTTTTCCTTGATCTCGTTCCCTCTTCTTGTACCCATCTTCTGTTCTTCTTGGTCTCCATCGCCATTTTGTGTGTGTGTGTGTGTGTGTGTGTGTGTGTGTGTGTCTTCAGTCTCTCTTCCCATTCCTTATAGGAGTACCTTGGTTTTGCGCCTGTATCTGGTCCACTTCTGTTTGTCATAGGAAATGTTATTTATCTATATGTAAATGGCTTCACATAATCTCGTTCTTACGGAAATGCATTACTAAACCCTGGTTTCATACCATACTTTTTACCATTTGTAGAATACAACATCTAATTTTTTTCTAGATATTATGACATCAGCATATTGGATGTTAATGCCTATCATTTCCACATCCTGGTATTCACCTTTGGGGTCTTAAAAATAAAAGATAACTTCATTAGTTGAGATGAAAAACTTAGATACATTGCTTTTATCATTGTATTAAAACACTCTCTGATCTGACAATAACAATCCCTCATGAGCAAGTATCACAGGAAATTGAATGAAATTGGCTATACCCCTCAAATGAGAGTCTTCAAGTGCAATGCATTTTAATTAACTGCCAAAGGCTACTAGTAATTGAGGTCAGGTACCACCCCTAACAGGGTCTCAAATGAAGCAGAACCATTTTGATTGCAATTACCTACCTTTCATCTTTGTCTACATAAAGGAAAGACCAAAAAGACAAAAAGTATATTTGAAGTCATTGTCTTTGTCATAATGTGGTTTTTATTGTGAAAGTTTTTAATCTCTTTTTCTAGAAGAGGTGAAAAACAAGTAACAGCCAAATGAGGGAAGGGTATCCTAGTTATGCATAACTCTCAGAAATTGTACCAAATGACCTGGGATTTCTTTTGAGTCCATGTGAGGAAGCACTGACAATAGAGATTCATTGGAGTTGTGAGGTTATTTAAACAGTAGCTATTTCTGTTGAGGTTATGCCCCATCAAGATTGGTGTTGAGACAAAGTCTGGGCTCAAGTCAGACACAGTTGCCTCTTTCTAAAAGGTTTTCAATAAGAGAAAGGGTCCAAGTAAAATTTATTCATAGATAGATACCAGAAATTCATACATGTACACATTTGCAATGGAGGTCAATCCAGAGCAAAGGCTACCAAAATGTCAGAAGTGCACTAACCTTTTGTACAATAAGAGGTGCCTTCCTATCATTGACAAGTAACTAGTTGCATAGGAAGATTCCAATCTCATCTTTCCTTATTTTCTGTATCTACCCACAGAACTAAGTCTTGAAAAAGATAGTGATGAGGCGGGTAAGGGTGTTTCTGAGCAATTTATGACCTTCACCCTCTTTTACACTCCAAGCAGCCAGGTTAAAACCTTAAGTCTCTAATAGGAAAGGATAGGAGACAAATAGAGTTTATAATCTCTAAGACATTCATTAGAAAATTTAAA